CGGGAATAGTCCCATGTTCCTTGAAGAGTTGTAGGTGGAAATAATGTCGGATACCTTACTGATAAAACCAGCCCAATGGGGTTGCTGGAAGGGAATCGTGGGGTCTTGTGTACCCAAAGGAGGCCCCCCAGCCTGGTAGTGAATTGGGATGGGGAGGTGGGCACAGTGTTGTAGAAGCTGGTCAACTGAAGAGGAAATAGCACTGAGTTCAGTTGTAGCAGAGGTCATTTCAACACACCCAGTCGAGTTTCTAGGTGTAGGTAGAGAGCACAAATTTGTAAGGCTTGAGATACCTGAGCTGGCTTGCACAGGTTGCTTCATCATTATCTAACTACTGCAACATCAAGGGTTGACCTGCATGTAAGAATTAGAGACTGCATCATGCACAAGAGACCAAGTGCTGTTTTCCATAATAAGTTTGAGGAGAGAAGAGAGGGGCAGCTCACAAGTGTGTAGCGTTTGAGACCCTAAGAAGATCAGAGCAGTGGTCCCATTTAGTCCGACGTCCTGTCTCACACAGTGGACAATCGGTTGCTATGAATGCCCAACAATTAGGTCATAGAGGCCTGGGCCTTCCCCTGATGTTGCCTCCTTGCCACGTATTGAGAGGTATGCAGCTTGTGACTATGGAGGTTCCCTTTACTTGCCATGGCTGTTGGTCTTGGGTGGAATCTGTCTAGTGCCCTTGTAAAGACATCTATGCTGGTGACCATTACTACATCCACTGGCAGTGAATTACACAATTTAATTAATTGTTGAGTAAAGACAAATTATTTTGTCCATCCTGAATCTATTCCACATCAACTCCACCGTTTGCCTCCCCACATTCTAGGATTATGGGAGGAAAAGTTCTCTTGATCCACTTTCTCAATCCCACATGTAATTTTGTGAACATTTGTCACATTCCATTTTAGTTATCTTTTTTTTCTGATTTGAAAAATCCCAAGCTCTTTTGGCCTTTTTTCATGGGAAGGAGTTCACCCCTGAACTTCCATTTCTTTGCTCCAAATCACCCCATTTTTAGCAGGTTTTCTCCACCCAGACGACCAGTGGAATTTCAAAATGCGAATTTGTAAAGGTATTTGGTTAGCTTTTTTGTATCTCCCTGAACAATAAATGGGATGTACACCAGCCTGCTTGTCCATTGAAGAGTGTGGGAAAGTCCTTGGAGGTGTGGGAGGTCCCCCCCCAAACCTCTGCCCCCTCAAAGGATTCCATGGATCAAGCCTCATGTTTACAAGGGTGGTTGTTGAAGAAGTTTGATGTGCTTTACTAGCATTGAGAATATGTCGGGCATATCAGAAATTGTCTGAAAATAATTCTAAACCTCCATGGATGAACACAGCCCTGTTCAATGCTTGCTTTACTGATTTATTTTACAGATTTGTACCTCGTCGGGCCCTCAAAGCCTGATGTTTTCATTGTATAGCAAATAAACTTCTTCTTTTTTTGTGTTTATTGTTGGCTTGCGATCTGGTTGAAACAATAGAGGATTGTTCTGGCCTTTGGCAGGATTTATAATTTGAAGCTACTTCCATTTTCATTTGTGGGGGGGGGGCTGCTCTCTTCCCTGCGTAAAACAAGCTGTTAGAAAACAAATGCCTAAATATCTCAATGTGGTTGACTCAACACCCACTCCCCTGCTCTTGTGAAGCATTTAGAAATCAAGTTGTTTTGTTTGCATCTATAATATATTGTTCAGTTCCATAGACCTGGTTTGTAATCCATGCTGGATGAGTGTTTTCAGGCCCTATCTCTCTCCTTACCTCCGCCTCTTGATTTAAGCCGCTACACATAGCAGAACCGAATTCGGGCATTGTTTAATGTTGAGTTTCAGTCTGTCTGTTTGTTCTTCGGAGGCTTTTGGCTTCTAACAAGCGGAGCTGTATTCCGTGCTGGCAATCCAAGCCACTAATATTGCTCACTTTCTCATTGGAAGTTGGCCAGGATTGGGCAGTGTTTTCTGTATGGTGTTGAAGTTGAATCTGTGCAGCTTTCCACGCACACCCCTGCTCCCATTTTCACTTGCCTTCTCAGCCTCCCGTCGCCGCAAAAACAAAGATTAAAAAGACTGGAAAAGGAAGACCGTTTCTTGCGTTTTTGCTGCTACTTGACTCGTTCGTGTAAGACTCTCGTTTTGTTTTTCTCAGCTTCAGCAAAGAAGAAAATTCGGTGTCTAGCCGAAGCGGGTGAATTCTAGTGTGTTTACGGTGGCAATCTGATATCTGTCTCTGTTGCTACAGTGAACGAACAACCAACTTAAAATCGCTTTAAGCAAGGAAAGATCTAACTCCTAGTCGGTCTCTGATATTTATTTGGGCTACTTTGAAGGCAGCAGCCAGACAGCTTCAAACAAAAATGAAATTTCTCTACATGCCTCCCTTCGGCCATTTTCGTGGTTCCTGATCTGCCCGACAACGTCAGTGCAAAATCAAAGGGTTTTTTTGGAGGGTGGTGTGTGTGCGCGTTCATGTGTGTGTGTGTGTGTGTGTGCTGCTGCTGCTGCTGCTGCTGTATTCTTCTCCCTCCTTTCAATTTTTGCTTAGTACAAAAGTGTTCTGTGAATATGATGTAGTTTAGATTTACAGCGGAGCCGAGTGCGTTTGCTGCCGTAGTCAGCTGTGAGAGATCTCCCACTGGGGCCGCTCCTTTCTGATGGAAAAAGAGCAGCTGCGAAGGTGCTGTTTCAGGCTCTTGCTGGTATTAAAAAAAAAATTAGTCGCTTGCATTGGAGAGGGAGAAACGGGTCATGTGATGCCAGCCATCCTACCCTATGTCACAGTGCAGAGGAGCGCTGATTGCTCTTATCCAATCATGCCTGGAATGCTGTTTGCCACTTGGGCTATTTCTGCTATCTGTCGCTATCAGTGTAGCAGTGCTAACAGTTTGGCAGATGGGACACTTTTTCTTGGAGTTTATGTCTTTAGTTCTTAACTTCTGGCAGTGCCTGTGGACTTATTGCCGGAGGTTTTTTCCCTCCCCCCTCGCCTTTCTCCTTAAACCATGGCCCATCGGCTGCGGTTTCATTTTGGCTCTGGACGAAGCAACACAGCTCCCGAATCAGAGATCCTAGACCGTGAGAGAGAGGATGATGACTTTTTCATGGCATTCCACACTTTGCCAAGACGGAACGGGCCTCATGCTTTCTCCAGGCGCAGAATGGATTATAGTGACGGTGGGGGCGATTTGCGAGAAGTGGGGGCTTTGAAAAGAAGCACCTCCATGTTTATTCCTCAGCTGCTGAACAACATCGATGCGCGCCCAACCAGGAGCTCATCCATGCAGATTTCCCTTCAGCGCAAGGCTGTAAATGGACACGCTGATGGGTGTGGGGTGCCAGAGTCCCCGGAGGAGACGTGTAAACTTTCAGACTTCGGGGAGCATTGTGCTTCTTTGGTTGGGAGCCATTCTTCGGCAAGCAGTCCACAGGTAACTCCAGAGAATTCCCCACCCAGACAGCCTGAGATCATGGGGCAAGAGGTGAATGGAGGATCCCCCAACCATCGAATATTCTGTACAATACCTTCCAATAATTGGAATGACAATGGTACAGCTGCTGCTCAAGATGATGAAGCAAACAAGGCCACGTCTGGTTTAAACATTAGCGGGGTAAGAATTCAGCATCGTGCCTCAAGTGTCGATGTGCCTCAGGTGACGTTGATGCCCTTTGGTTCAGACACTCCAAATAATGCTTCTCCTTCAGAACCCAGGCGCTGGTCTTTACAGCATTTGCCAGACGGGTCAACCAATTCAGGCAAAAAATTCTTTGTTTTCCAATTGCAGCAACCACATTTGAACAGTCTGGGGGCAGGGGCAGATTGCAATTTTGGTTTCACTGGAACAAAAGGGGATAGGTTGGTTCGATATCCCCGGATCCGTCTGGAAAGAAGTACCTCGTACCCAGTTCAGCCACAATCAGAACGAGTCAGCCCTCTGGACGATAGCACGAATACAGCCGTTCGGGGGAATGCTTCAGAAATATCGAGAAGCAATTCAGTGGAGCGGGTTTCTCCAGGGCAAGGGTGTACATTTAAAATCCTACCGGATCAAAATTCAAGGCAGCAGCACTTCAGAATTCTTGTCACTCGTGGGACTAATGAGAAAAATCAAGTTTCTGGACAGGAAAATTCTAGTATTCCTATTCCTGCGGCAACCAACGCCTCTGTAAGTTAATATCTGAACTCATTTCCCCCTCAGTGTTTTTAGAGGACAAAAAAATAAAAAAAAATTGCATGTTGGATTGGGCATGTGGAAAGCAGCTGTCCATACTAGAAAGGTCTATATGCTTCTGGAACAATCTTGACACATCCTTGTTTTGTTAAGCTAAAATAGATTTCACTCATAACTACATCCAGAGTAATATTTTGAGGTATCCTAGTGACTCACATGTTACTTAATTGTTACAGCATCTCAACAGTGTGTTGGATTGTACCATCGGGGTGCACTGACACCTGCATGGTCTTCTGGCCCAAGACGCCATTCATTAATGGAAGGTGTCCTCACAAGAGCACTTTGGGTTAGTAGAAGGCACCTCATACCAGAGGACTGCGCTGTGCCAACTGAACAGAATGGTGGGATCTCACCCAGTGCCTCTATTTATAAAATTAATCAGTGCACAGTTTATAACATTCTACCTTTAGGACCCTGAATTGGTGAAAAGGCAGCTTAGAAATGTTTTATATGAATAAACCAAAAACACAACATTATTCTTTATTTATTTGAAGCATTTATATCCTTATGTTGTCAAAGGCTTTTATATCCTTGTTTCTCAGCTAGCTTTGTTATATTCTTAAAGAAATATGTATGCATGCTGAATAAGCACTCTCTAGCTCTAGGAGACCAGATTACGGCTCCACAGTACCAAGAGATATGATCATCTAAATCGTTTAATCAAGCCGCCTAAAGTTGACTTTCAATCAACGTCAACTTTTAATGGTAAACTTTTTGCCTGTGTTGTGTTGCTTGCTGTCCAGTTGAAAGTGAGAAATGATGGGTGGTAAGCATGATCGAAATCTCGAGTATTTTGATTTGTGTGGCGACACACAACTTCGGAGAGGAAATTTACTCTTTTTTAAAGAAAGACTTTTTTTGTACGTAATACCAGAAATAAGCTGTACTTACCTTTTTTCACCGAATAATATGTGTAACAATTAAAAAGAAAACTGGTGTTTAATTGCTGCGCAGTGCCATTGAACTTGGACCACTTGAGTTTCTCAACTTGGTGATCTAGTATATATAACCGGTAACAAGTATATAAAAACAATAACACTTGAACTGGTTCTCAGGCTGAATCGCTTCCATGCATGTGTGCATACTGATCGATCAGAGATTCTTTGTGCAAATTAGTGTGAAAAGGCAGTGCCCAACTGGATGGTGCAGAATGATGACGACTCTGCATCATTAGTATCAAGAATGTTAGTAGCATTAGTCAAGAGTAACATTGGTTATTGTGCTAGCCAGAGTCCCTCTTTGTTTTGCTTTTTTTTAGTATGCAGATATACATTTGAGAAGGTTTCTAAATAAGGGATCACATTTGTTGATTTTTTGGGGAAGCCATCCTTAGCTAGTCTACTCTCAAGTAAGCCCCATTTTATTAAATGGGACATACTCCCAGGAAAGTGTTCTTGGGACTGGAGCCCTATAGTAGAAGGCATATTTGGTGGTACATAGTACTCCTAGCCAGTGTTCCTTCTAAGCTGAGTTAGTGTGAGCTGGCTCACAGTTTTTTAGCCCCTGGCTCACACATTTTTGTCTCAGCTCAGGAAGGATGGCTCCAGAGCAAACTAATTTATGCAGTAGCCAAATGGCTCGCTCACAACTTGAATGCCGGTAGCTCACAGAGTAGAATTTTTGCTCACAAGACTCCACAGCTTAGAGGGAGCATTGCGTCTTAGCTACCATATGTAAAATTCTGTCTCAGTTTTCTAGATTTCTTTGAATTGGCTTGGTTTTCCCTAAGGTTTAACCCTCCATTAGTAAGGTGCTTCAGGTTTTGTTTCAGACATAGTGAAATAGCATTAAAGTTCTTTATTTAGCTTTTCTGTTGCTTGTTTTGTAAATTTATTTTAAGCTATTGGCTCCTGCTTAGAGTTCTATACTGACTGTGTGAGTTTCTTTAGATGCTGAGCATAATGTGGATATAGGCTGTAGCTATAAACAAGTGAGGGTGATTTGAGAGAGAAGGCGTCATGCTGAAAATTAGGGCCCAAATTTACTACTACTGCCGCCACCACCACTACCACATTGGACAAAAGGGAAAAATCTATGCTGAATTCACAGTGTGATAATGAGCATGCCACTGGAAAACTGTCTTCCATAGGGACTAGTAACATGCTGTCTCAAAGAATGTTTTTGAAATGTTAGTTTTGAGATGTTCATTTTTTAAAAAGCAAATGCACATTTCACTTTTTTATTTAGGTGCACCTCTCACCCTATTATGAAAAGTTGAGAGGGGGAACACAGGTGGATGAGACTCAACAAGCCTTTTCATGGAAATGCAACTTATTTTTAAAAAATCCTTGCCACCATCCCAATATATTTCAGGGTATTTAGCGTTGTTCAGGACCATTTCTGATACATAATTTTTACGTCATCATTTTTTATACTTACAAATAGTAATTCCAAAAACCAAATAGACACACCCTTGGCTTAGCAGTTCACCTTTTCTTCTTCATCAGATGTATTAACTCATGATGTCCTCTAAACAGCTAAGAATTATGTACAAAACCAATTCAAGGGATGCCGATTTCTTATGAAAAGAGAAGAACTCAGCAGTATTTTAAGTAGCATAAAATCACTTTTTATTAATTACCAACAAACAGTGATGATTATTACCTTTACAGCAGCTGGTAATGATTATTTTTTTAAAAAATCTGCCTTACAGGGGTGGCAGAGGGGAGCGTATTTGTTGCTACCCCATTTATCACTTCCAGGTTGGCAAAGTTGTTAAATGGAGGTCCCAAGTAACTCCAGCAATGTTGTGCTAGCCAGATAAATACCACTGGCAGGTGAGCCTCAGTCTTAAGGTACAAATTAGTCCACATCAGGAATGAGTGCGTGTAGAACGTGGCGCGTAGAAGTTGACCGCCATCATTTATTAATGTTACGAAATGCTAGCACTTTAAAATGGTTTAAATGTTGAAATATGTTATCTGTTTAATTTAATTTATGTGTGTGTTTTATTCTGTTGTAAGTTGCCCTGAGCCGGCCTAGGCTGGGAGGGCGTGGTATAAGTCTAAATAAAATAAATAAATACATACATAAATAATTAAATCATGGCTGAAGTGTGCATGGAGTTTTCTGTGCCCTTCAGGGTCAGGGACAACCCCAGGACTGCAGCTGGTATTACCCAAACATAGTTGTACCTGCAATGGGAATTTTTTCAAATTAATTTGAACATTTATGCCTCCTCTTTTCTCTTGGCTCATCTCCTCTTGGAAATGAAAGTAGAGTTTGCATGAATACTGTGTGATGTGGTGTTCCAAGCACACATGGATGTGCCCAATTGCTGTGAATGTGTGTGCAGACAGATCCCCACCTGTATTTGGTGGCACGCTGCTTTACATGGACTGTAATGAATTTGTACCTGCCTCTCTCCTGCTCCTGGGGCTATTGAAGTAGCGGCTCATCGCTCTGCCCATATGCGTAGAAGCATTCAGGGAAATTTGTGTGGTCTCTGGGCAGATCTTTGTGCATGGTTTGTTTTTATGTTTCAGGTGAGAATGACCACATTGAGCATTGTGATTGTGTTTGCTTGTGAACAAAGGGTCACTTTGCACCCCTTTTTGTTGTCGTTCCCTTTTGTGGAAGGTTTTTGGGGGTCATGTTGTGAGTCTGAAAAACTGTGTGGATTGTAACACAGCGAGGATATCTTCCCTATGCAGTCTTAGCAAGATGGTAGTAAGGAAGGACCTCTTGGGTGTATTCCGCAGTCCTTGACATGGTGGTGTTCTCTTTCACGCTTCTTTTCAGTCGGTTGGTTTTAAAAAGCTGTGGATCTCTCCAATTTAATCTAGCTACAGATTAACAATGTATTGTGGCTGCTGAGATGTATGTAAGTCACAGATTTGCGCTTGGCCCTGGTGAAAAATAGATGTGGATAGCATGGAGTTGATTCCCCCCCCCTCCCCTGCTGAAACAATCAGAAGGAGGAATCTTGCTAACACTTAAAAGTTTGGATTGAGCCTGTGAGCATGGCAGTCAAACTCTTTGGGTAGGCATTTTCCAGATATTCCTCTAAAAGCTTGCTGTTTTCCATCCAAGTAGCTGAATGCTTTTTTGGTTAAGTCTTATTTTTACAGGAGAGCTGTGGGTTTGCAAATGAAGGCTGTGCAGTGAATGCGTTTAACTGTGGATGTGCTTCTTGTATCCGGTGGCTGAAAGGGAATTTGGTAGCACTTTTCAGAAACCATGTGCGGGTGGGTAATGGGGAAGGGAGCACAGTGGAGCGAGAAAAGGTGTTTAGACTCTAGTCAACACATTTAAAAAGTGCAAACTTTAAAAGTGACCTGTGTCTGGCATCCTGTATAAATCGCACGGATGAAGCCGATTTGTAGGTAATGCATCTTATGTAGGGTTGGATCCTGCAGATTTGCTCTGCTAACGGCAGTGCCCCCTTCCCCAGGACAAGGAACCGTCCCCAGACACCAGGGGCTCACTTCTTGTATCCAGAGAGGGCTCTATGTACCAGGGGAAAGTTCCATTAGTAACAGAATGGATTCGCCAACTCTAACTCCTGAAATGTTCTATGTCTCTTAGCTTTTGCAAATTGCAGAAGCAGTGGATTCTGACAACCCGTCCGCAAGATTCCTCCTTCTGGTTGTTTCAGCATTTTCTTCCCGACATGCATATTCAATCCTATCCTTGCAGCCAGAAGAGTTTGTTATTTGCAAAAATATTAAAACTGAGATTTGAGTGAAAGTTCTCAGCTCTGTGGTTGTGAGCTTTTCAGTGAAAGCGAGGGAGTAAGGAAAGCTCTGGGTCCAAGAAATAACGATGATGCACCAATTATTAAAAAAAACATACACGTACAACTGCCAGAACAAGGTTTTTAATAGAAGGAAAAGATTACATGTCATGTACTTTTCTATACTTTTAGAGGAGTATGAAAAAGAAGAAGTATAAAATTATGCAACGATTAACCCCTAGTAGAAACAGAGCTGGAA